CGCAGCACCCTGAAGATGCTGTCTTCTGGTCTCTGTTGTCACTGATGAGCTGTCAGTCTGCTGTCCTTCTTTGGTAGGTTATCTCTCTTCTTTTCCTGGTAGCCTTTATGAATATTTGTGTATTTTTAACACTCTTCAGTTTTACTATGATATGTCCATATGGGATTTATTTTTATTTATCTTCCTCAGAACATTCAACACTTTTGATGTGACAATTTTCTCTGATTCTGTAAAATTCTATTTTTTTCCTTGAAACATTGCTTCTTTGTATTTTCTAATAGGAACAGGAATTCCTATAAGTAGGTCATGGAGTTTCTTAATGTGCTTTCCATTTCTCTTAACTGTTTTTTAAATATTTTATTTTATTTCTTTTTACTTTTGTACTGCATTATGGATGAATTCCTCAGTATTATGTTTCAACTCACTAATTACATATTTAACCATGTCTAATTGAAAGGTTTTGGAGAAGATAAGTTTCTATCTTATCCACTTTTGTATAAACCCAACCAAGCCTCGCCCAGTACCCTTTATATAGAAGCTGTACAACAAATATTTGTGATTAAATAAACACAATGCTTACAGATACACTACTTTATTAATAACCCAAGATTGCATTTTCATATAACAAAAGTTACCATCTAAACACATCTACAACTTAACTTTTAAACAAAACATAGCAATATTTAGCAATACAAACAAATTTTAAATTTTTTTGCAAAACTAGAATGTGTGTGTGTGGGGTGTGTGTGTGTGTGATCTGGCTGTAGGTGTGTATTTTTACACAAGGCCTTGTTATTCTCCTTTAAGAAATCTTTTGGGATCTTCTGGCAGAATCCTTAGGTCATGAACTTTCCAGCCACCCCTAAATTTTGGCTTACTCTAGTATATGGTATTTCCTTTGTTCTCTATATTGTAATTTTATGGTGACCAAATCTGAGTCAAGTACAAGGGCAAGAATGCTCTGCTGCTTCCAGTGCTTTATTTGCTGGTGCTCAGCATTTTGTACCATACAAAGCAGCATATGGAAAGATGGCAGCAGTTTGCTTTGCAAGCAAGCTATCCTCTTTTTATGGGGAAGATACACCAAAGAAGTTTTCCCCCCTACACTCGTACCAGATGAATGTCACCTGCAATTTCTTCCAGCTATAATCTAAAGCGCATTTATTAGCTCAGGATTCACAAAGTACACAAGGAAAGATGTTAGAATCCTTTCAACATGTAAGGATGACACAACCAGTTAAACCAGTAACATCCCATTAAATGGTTATAGTTGCAGGAGTCTAATGATCAGGAAGGACCACGAGCTGACTGGTGTAAGAGCTTCCTATGATGAGCCCAGCTCTCAAAAATATTATATCTTCTCTCCAGAGAAGTGCAACATTTATCAATTCCTTAATTGCTGCTTTGACGATTGGTGGGCAACGACTGTTCTCGTCTTTCACATTCAGATGTCCCTGTCAAGTGGGGAAAAATTTCTATTATGGTTTTGCTTTTCTAGTTATTCCTGCCTTGATCCTGCTGATTGCTGGCTATGCTCTGCGAGGCCAAATGTGGACAATTACCAGCGACTGCTGCTATGGATGTTCTCCTCCACGCCGCCAAACCAGCCTCCTGGAACGCAAGCTGGCTTGCCTTAGGTTCTTCAGCATCACCGGGAGAGCAGTCGTTGCTCCCTTAACGTGGCTGGCAGTGACCCTACTGACAGGCACCTACTATGAATGTGCAGCAAGTGAGTTTACGTCTATAGACCATTACTCAGTGTTTGACAATGTCAGTGCCAGCAAACGAGAAGAGGTCCTAGCTGGGTTTCCGTGTTGCAAATCAATTCCTTCTGACATGATCCTAGTAAGAGACGAAGTGGCTCTTCTGCACAGATACCAATCTCAAGTAAGTTCTTGATATTTTCTTCTGCAAAACAATCCCATATTAAATATAGTCACTGGAAACATTGTACATTCCTGCTGCTTCTCATATTATCTGATTGTAGAACATGAACTAGATGTCATTCATAAGTGCGTTCTACTGAGAGGCTATATACAGTTAGGAGATTGAGCTTTGGAGTCAGCAGACCTGAGTTTGAGTCTTTTTACTACTAATTATATTGCAAACTTGAGCAAGTTATATAACTTCTCCGTACCTCACTTTCATCAGCCATAAAATGGAAGTCTTAACATTACTGCATAGAGTTGTTGTGAAGAATAAATTTGGCAATACTTCTCAAGGGCTTAGTACTCTTCCCAGAATCTGCATTATAAGCAATACATTTTAAATATTATTATTACTATTGTTACTACTAAATCCCATCTTCCTGAATATAAATATATTCTTAACTGTGCATTTGTATATATTACAATCTCATTTAAAACTATAAATAACAACAACAAAACTCAAACCAACTTCCATTGAGTTGATTCTGACTCATAGTGACCCCCTTTGGACTTCCAAGGCTATAAATCTTTCCTGAAGTAGATTGCCTCATCTTCCTCCCATAGAGCAGATGGTGGGTTCGAACCACTGAACTTCTGGTTAGCAGTCAAATACCCTGCACCATCAGAGCTCCTTATTTAATAAAATTTAAAACTACAGGAAGCTTAATGAAGATTAAAAAATAAACTCCAGTAGTGGTTCTAAACTTAGTGTTCATTGATAGGATTGTGTGTGGGGTTGGGTGGGGAGCGCTTGAACTTACAGTACTTTTAGGTTTTAAACAAAAAAGTGCCAATGTGCATTTTTCTCTCTAGAGAAGAGGCAACTGACTTCCATCAGTTTCTCCAAGGGATTTCAGAAAAAAGAACAGTTTCAAATCACTGTGATATATTAAAATGTGATTTTCAAAAAACTACTTCTTACAAAGGCAAAGACTTTTCATTTTTAAAATTTAGAAATGCTAATACTATACAATTGGGGAAAAAAATACTACCAAGATGCAGCATACCAAGATTTGGCTGAGTTTAAGAAAAGTTAGAAATCTCATTAAGATACACTTTGTCTTCATCTTTTTTATAATAGCCTAAAATTCAGGCAGAAGGAGCTAAGTGAAGATCCACAAAAGATTTTAAAAAATTAATGGGACAATTAAAACTTTAAAAAGTTTTTCTTGCTTAATAAAAAATAAAATGTGACACATAATTTTCTTAAAAATAAATTATCTTTTAAAATGCATTGCTGTTGTTGTTGTTGTTATGTGCCGTCAAGTCGGACCTGACTCATAGCGACCCCTCCTTGAGTTTCTGAGGCAGTATCACTACGGAAGTAGATTGCCTCATCTTCCTTCCAAGGAGTGGCTGGTGGGTTTGAACCTCCAGCCTTCTGGTTAGCAGTCAAGTGCCTTAGGCACTATGCTACCAGAGCTCTTTTACATACATACACAGGCTTATTGTGTGAAAAGACAGTCTTAAGCTCTGAATGTCCTCAGGCAAGGGAGTCTTTTGGTTAATGACAACAAAACCAACATTTATAGATAACGCTTGTCATATCCTGTATAAATATTTCATATCCTAACTCTAATCTTCATAATCTTGAGAGATAGATATTGCCCTCATTTTATAGATGAGTAAACCAAAGCTCAAAGAGTTTGCATAAAAATGCATAAAACTAACAAATGGTTGATGGATATATCTAAAGATCATGCTCTTTCCATTTCTCCAGGCTGCCTCTATACCACTTCCAAGTTCAATCTCATTTGAGGAAAATACACTGTTTTGCAGTTGGATTTTCCTGGCTGTCCACAAATCATATTAAGTTCAAAGCCCATCTCTGCTCATACCTAACTCTAAAATATCTTCTTGCCATTAGTTTCATTCCATTTCAACCTACCTTCCACTCTTGCCAAAATTATCTTTTGAAATGCAGACCAGATGCCATGATTCCCCTATATAAAGTCCTTCAGTGGTTCTCCACCAGCCTAAACACAAATTCAAAGTCCTTGTCACAATATACAAAGTCCTTCAGTATCTGGCCCCTGACCATTGTCTACATGATTTCTGTGACCCTGTGAATCGAAATTTCTTGAGAGTCTATCAACAATTCATGCATTTATTTTTGTACATTTTCCCCTTATTATAACTCTCCCAACTATAAAAATGGCATGGCAGGGGCATCTGACCTCCTCTAAGTTTAGGAGGGGCATCAGCATCACCATCACAACATCAGAATCACCACAAGCAGCATCAGCCCAAGGCTGATCCCTGCGAAGCTGAGGTGAGACATGCTTTCACTCTTCAAACTTTCTACCAGTTCTGACAGCAACCCTCCCTCCTATGGCACTCTCTAGTTCTCTGCTGGTTTGATAATTTACTGCGCTGGCCACATAGAACTGACAGACTATACTCCTTATTATGAGATTTATTAGGGAGGTAGCAGGTTATGATTCAGGATTAGGAAAGACTAGGATATACAGTGGCTAAGGCACTTGCCTGCTAACCAGAAGGATGGCAGTTCAATCCCACCAGCCACTCCTCGGAAGGAAGATGGGGCCATCTACTTCTGTAGTGATACTGCCTTGGAAACCCAAGGAGGGGTCGCTATGAGTCAAGTCCGACTCAACGGCACATAACAACAACAGCAACAGGATATAGTTCTTTGATCAGGACAGCCTCTTTATACCTGTGCTCATAAGCAGGACTCTCCTTGGCCCTTGTCCTCTCAATCCTCAGCCTCTATGCCTCTTGGGACTCTTAGGCTGCCTAGGCTCTTCCCAGCTTGGGCAGGTGTTACAAGGCTCCACCAATAATTGCCTAAAAGCACCCCACTCCACCAACAAGCCTTCTGCCTGAAACCGCTCAGCTTTTTTTCTCTGTGGGCTGGGAAGCCACTATGCCATCTCCTGCCAGTCACCTGGTTCTGCTGCCTCAGCTGCCACTGTTTCCTTGCCATTGCCTCTCCCCATCTTTTGCTATCTCTGACGTTACAGCTCTCTGTCCCTTGGGTCCAAGAGGTTCCCAGCACAGGGACCTCAAGTCCAAAGGACACACTCACTCACTCACTCCACTCCTGTCTCTTCTTCTTGGTGGTAGTGGTTACCACTCCACCCCACCCCTATATTCTGAGATTGGCTCTCTTTTAAGCCTAGCAAGATGGCAAAACTGACCAATTGCTTTGTTAGTGTATGTACCTTATTTGCATTATTAGCAAACTGACCAATCCCCTTGGTGAACCACCAGCACCTTGTTTGTATAGTCCCATCCAATCATTTGGTGGGGGTTATAAGACCCTAGCTGGAAAGGCCATATAAAAGTGACCCATCATACTGGACTAGCTTCTTGCATCTGGTTGACTTCTCTTTAATAATTTAAGTCTCAACTTCAGTATCATTTCCTCTGGGAAGTGTTCTCTGATACTCTTCTCCCTCAAATGAGTCAATGTTCCTCTCTTGTGTTTCCTCAGCACACTTTGTTTACCTTCACTTCTTGGTTTGTTGGTTTATATCCCTCTTTTGGCTTAAAGACTGTGGTGAGAATAAATGTACCTTAAATTATTTACATCCAAGCCCCCATAACCAAACACCATGCCCAGCTCATGATGGGAGCTCAGCGTGGAGCTGAATAATGATAGTTGATGAGTTAATGGGTATCTGACCTGGCTTTTCCTACACCATGCTGGCCTCTATTAAGTTAGATCATGATGAAATATCACTTTGTATGTTTTAGCCTCCGTGGAGCACAACTACTCCATTGTGTGCACACTGATAATTCCAGGCCTGTTGATGAATCATGAGCTGAGGAAAGACCTCCGTCTCCCAAACTGTGCCTGCACACTGCTGGCTTTCCTATTTGTGTAGAACTTGTCCCTCTCACTTTACATCACAATTGCTAAATATTTGAGAAAGAAAAAGAAATAGAAGAATTCTAAGAGCAGAAATCAGCCACTTATTCCAGTCTTTAAAAGTGGACACTAAATGAAAACTGATTCACGGTGACCCCTTGTGTGTCAGGGTTTTCAATGGCTGAGTTTTCACAAGCACAGCACCAGCTCCTTCTGGGGCACCTTTTGGTTAGCAGGCAAGCATGTTAATCACTCATACCACCCAGGGACATCTGGACACTAAACGTCACAGAAAAATCTAGTCCGTTTTCCTTTCAAAGTATGTTTCAAAGACAAAACCAACACTAGTTAGCAAACGACTACGTATTTGAAGGAGGGAGGGAAAGGAAAAGGAAAAGAATCAGATATTCCAAGTCACAATGATTATACTATCAATGATACAAGGACATAAAAGTCTACTTACTGATTTTATTCTTTGGGGGCAAAAGATAGGCTGGAAAGAGCAACTCAGGGAGACTGTCAATGAATACTGTTGGACGATCACTGAAGAGAGCATAAAAGGATACGTTATTATCTATCGTAGCATCATGATCAAACAGCTATTAAGCACAGACTGCATAGCCTGTATGTGAAGGTTCAGAAGTAAAGTTGAGCTGAAATCAGAGAATGTAGTTTATGTACTTCACATTAAGGGTAATTGGTGAGTTATAGCATCTGTCACTTCAAGAACAGTACTTAGAATCCATTCCAAGTTAACTGGCCAAATTCCTGCATAATCCAAACACCAAGTTGAAATGCCTGGGCCTATATCCTCTTTCAGGGTCCCTGGGTGGCTCAAATAGTTAACATGCTTGACTGTGAACCAAAGACTTGGTGTGACCAGTCTACCTGGAGTGGCCCCTGAAGAAAGGTTTGGTGATCTACTTTGGAAAACTCAGCCACTGAAAACCCCATGGAGCACAGTTCTGTACTCTGACACTCATGATGTTGCCATGAGTGGACAACTGATTTGTTTTGTTTTTTCATATATACACACATATTCTTTCAGACCTAAGTCCACATAAAATGATCCACAACTTCCTCTTGTTCATACATTGCTGTTGGCGGGTGCTGCTGTGTGTATCCAACTCATAGCGACCCATGTGACCGAGCAGCCCTGCTGGTTTTCCTATTTTTCTTGCCTGTAACCTTCACGGAAGCACATTGCCAGGTCTTTTTCCTGAGGAGCAGGTGAATAGGCTCAAACTGCCAACCTTTCAGTTGGCAGCTGAGTGTTTAACCACTGCACCACCAGGGCTCCTTCATTAACATTTTAGAGACTGGAGAAACAAAGTTCTTACCCATATTCCTCTTTTCAACTTTGTAGGAATCCCTCCTACTGTGACAATTTCTTGACTCTTTGGTGCAGTAATGTTTTCTGTTTTTCTTTGTCCTAATTCTGTGAAGATGCTGGGCTGGGTTGTGATCACCTTGGCACTCATCGCTGTTCTGGTCTCCTCCTGCTTGGCGCGGTGCTGCTCTCCCCTCACCTCTCTGCAGCATCACTACTGGACCACTCACCTGCACAACGAGAGGGAGCTCTTTGAACAAGCAGCAGAACAGCACTCGAGGCTCCTCGTCACGCAGCACATCAAGAAAATATTCGGCTTCATTCCTGGGGATGAAAGCGTTAAACACATCCGTATTCCTTCTTGTCAGGACTGGAGAGATATTTCGGTACCCAATGTTGCATGCATGGGTGATAATTTGCAGAGTCACTACAGTTTCCTTGGAGACAGGGGGGATGAGGATAATGAGGAAGGCAAATCAGAAAGGATTGAGTTAAAACCTTGATTGCAGAACTTTTCTTAGTTCAGGTGGCTTACCAGATGCTTTATTTTTTTTTTATGATGGAGCTTCAATGTAATACCCTCATCTTTCACTCATCTGATATTTGTGTACATTAGTCCACCCAAAATTATATTTCCAAAATCAACTTTCTCCCCTTTTGAAATTTTACCGAGGGTCTGGTAATGCCTAAAGTGTCCATATTTATCTAATTAAAACAATTTGGAATTTGAAATCATGTCAAAATTTGAGTCTTATTTCTGTTACTTCGTACCAAACAAACCAACCAAAACCAAACTCACTGCCCTTGAGTCAGATTCGACTCAGTGATCCCTCCTTGGGTTTCTGAGGTGGTATCACTACGGAGGTAGATTGCCCAACCTTCCTTCCAAAGAGTGGCTGAACCACCAGCCTTCTGGTTAGCAGTCACATGCCTTAGGCCCTATGCCACCAGAGCTCCTTGTTACTTAGTTGTTGTTGTTGTTGTTATGTGCCGTCAAGTCAGCCCTGACTCATGGCGACCCCTCCTTGGGTTTCCGAGGCAGTATCACTACGGAAGTAGGATTGCCCAACCTTCCTTCCGAGGAGTGGCTGGTGGGTTTGAACCGCCAGCCGTCTGGTTAGCAGGCAAGTGTCTTAGCCACTATGCTACCAGAGCTCCCTTAGTAACTGTGTGAAAATTAATATTCCTTTGTGTCATCAGCACAGTGACAGTAGGCACCTCACTGAGCTGTTGTGAGCATGGCATGTGATAATCTAAGTAACGTGCTCAGCACTAAAACCTAACCAAACCCACTGCCATTAAGTTGATCCCAACGCATAGCAACCCTTGAAAACAGAGTAGAACAGGGCTGAAAGTCTTCATGGAAGCAGACTGCCTCATCTTGCTCCTATGCAGTGGCTGGTGAGTTTGACCCACCAACCTTACGGTGAACAGCCAAACACTGTAGCCACTGGACTATTAGAGCTCCTTACAGTGCATTTCATAAAGTAAGTGTTCATAAATATTAGTTTCTCCTTCCTCTTTGCATTCCAATGTCTTCTATCACTATTTTCTCCATTTCTATCTTCTTATTTTCCCTATTTTTTACCTCTGGTGGATCTATGTTTAAGGCATTGGGCTACTGACCAAAAGGTAAGCAATTCGAACCCACCAACTGCTCCATGGGAGGAAGATGAGGCAATCTACTTCTGTAAAGATTTATAGCCTTGGAAACCCAATGAGGGTCACTATGAGTTGGAATCAACTCGGTGGCAGTGAGATTGTTTGAGTCTGTATTATTCCAGGAACTTTTCCCTACTTCCTCCTCTTTCTTTAAGCTTAAACATATGACATTTTGATGACCAGGGCAAAAAGCTCTTTCTAATGATAAGATGTGAGGGAGAAGCCCAAGCAAGATCTCGAGTCATCCTACCATAACTATGGCACGATGATGATTATGCCATCATTAGCATCATAAATGTTATTTGTAACACGTATGTGCTAGGAGCATTTTGATAGCCACTACAAGTGTATTCCAGACAGCTTTCCAGACTCTGTGCTCCAATAGGGACACACTCTGTGCCTTCGCAGAGTTATTACTATCAAATTGTACCTTTTCACTCAAAATCCATTTGTTAACTAAGACAGCACCCTATACTTGTATATCCATTACCTGGAACTTCTAAAGGAGATGCTTGCCTGACTTCCTCTGCCTGGTTTTGAACCTCTAGTATTTGACAGCTTTTGAACTCCTCTTGAGTATTTCTAATGTGCAGTATTTTGTGCCTGATTACTGCCCTTTTCATTAAAGCTGCTGGTTCATTGGCCAAAATGAGCAACAGGACAGCCTTCTCTCTTCTTAGCTGAAGTAATGTTTTCTTACTGGGCAATGGACTAGCTGCCAATGTTCAACTTGATTTTCAAGATTTAAGTTCAATGACAACAGAGAACTGATCTCTGACCTGCAGTCAACTGCTTGGTGATCTACTGTTACTCAATTATGGAAGTCTATTTTTTTTTTTTTTTTTGTAAAATTCTGGGTTCCTCAAACTTAATAGAAACAAATAGAAAGTGAATTTTAAGGGGGAAAAAGTGTTTTCTGCTTTTTGCCAATTAGAGACTGTGGAATGGAGTACTTTGCCAAGATCGGAGACTTCTCTTGCCCTCACCATTATTCATCAGTTGTTTAACCTTGGGCAAGTCAGTCAGTGTCTCTGGGACTCAACTGTTTCATCAGTAAAATAGGGATAATGATACCTTACCTGCTGGAAGGCATAGTACTGAACCCAATGAATTATCAAGGGTCCTTTCAAATCTAATATGATTTTTGTTTATGTTTATATGTTTAGGGTCAATAAGTATACAACCTCCTGAATGGCACTAGATCCATGTGGTATCTTTTGGAAGGAAAACATCACTGAGTTTGATTCTGAGCTTTCTCTACAGATATTTACTAGCATTCCATTTTTACAAGAATATTAATGTACTGAACTTTTTCAAGTGGCCAAGGGTAACTATTCCAGTTTGTCCCCTAAATCTGGTGGCATAGTGCCTAAGGCATGTGACTGCTGACAAGAAAGCTGGCAGTTCAAACCCACCAGCGACTCCTTGGAAGGAAGGTTGGGCAATCTACTTCCATAGTGATACTGCCTCAGAAACCCAAGGAGTGGTCGCTATGAGTAGGTTCCGACTCGACAGCAGTGAGTATACTGATATGACATTACAAAAAGCAAACATCAAGCTCACTGCCATCGAGTTGATTCTGACTCCCCATTGGATTTCTGAGGCAGTATATATTTACAGAAGTAGATTGTGCAGTCTTCCTTCTGTGAAGTGGCTGGTGGATTTGAACCACCAGCCTTCTTGTTAGCAGTCAAATGCCTTAGGCACTGCACCACCAGAGAGCTCTTTATGATATTACAAGAGGGATTAAAATAAAAAATTTGAGGTACATTGAGGAAGGTTCTAGTTTAGTTCTGACATATATTAATTGTGTATATATAGTCACAACCACTTTAAGATTCACTCTAAAGTCTCCTTCAGCTCTTTGGCTCTATTTCTCTGAGAATTTTTGAAATTCCTCTGTATTGGGACATATTAATGAAATCACACTCTATGATGTGCTCAGAATTAGTTTATCCAGAGAATATGCCATAGTAAAGACTCTTCATTAAGATTTTCAGTTAGTAGCAAAATCTCAGAATGTATGAAGTTAAAACATTACATCATCAGAAGTAAGCTTAATAGTTTTTTATACCCTAATACTAGGAAACTTTGTTTCCACTAGCTTCTGGAAGCCTTTCTACATCAAAGTCCTTAAGAGTGTGATAGATACAGTTTATATTTTAAATCTGTTAAGAATGAGCTTCTGCTACTTTCTAGCAAAAGATTGTGTGAATTTTTTGGCCCTTGCACATGACTCCAAAGTGCTTTAAAGTCTCTGTGCAAACATTTAAAAGATAGTACACATTCCTAGGTTTCATTATATATTATCCATTTCAAATTAAACCAAATTCCAAGTCTTTAAGTCTTTTTTTTTTTGGTCCAGAGTAGTCTTTTGTACTACAGCCAGTTAGACAAAACTTTTCCATTAAGAACGTGATACTTCCTCCCCTTTATGCTTAATGGATTTAGGTAATTATAAGACATATAATTACAATCAATTACGTGCTAATACTGCCTTGTGTTTTGCTACCAACTGCTTTTGGCTACCACATCAAATGCTGTGGCTTGGCACATGTATAGACTTGCTCTTTTCTTAACTTCAATTTTATCAGCTCTGCCCTCCCCATCATAATCCAAGTTGCCTCCTTCCCTTTGTTGTTGTTATGTGCCGTCAAGTCGGCCCGACTCATAGCGACCCCTCCTTGGGGTTTCCGAGGCAGTTATCACTATGGAAGTAGATTGCCCCATCTTCCTTCTGAGGAGTGGCTGGTGGGTTTGAACCGCCAGCCTTCTGGTGAGCAGTCAAGTGCCTATTCTGTTTGTAGCCAACGAAAATCACATTAATCCTAAAACGTTGAAATATTATAGTCAACCAAGGCTTTCTATATGCAAGATTAGGTAACTATCTGCTACTTCAAAACACAAAAGTTTTAGAAGATAAAACTTTAGTTTCTGAATAAACTCCACCAAAATTTATCATGGGTCACAAAAAAACACATTGGGCTCCGTGGCAGTCTGAGAGCTGACAACTGGCTCCTTGAACTGTGGGACACAGATCTATAAATGTGACCCCGGGACAGAAGAGCAATGGATGGCATTTCCAGAATGGCAAGACACATTATTCTCCACTTATATTATTTTTCTAACCGCCAGGGAAGATTACCGCACACCAGAACACGAGAAGTAAAAGGATTTCCGGTATGGTTTCCTTTGCTGCCCCCCAGTGGTCCAGACAGATAACTGCACTTATCTGTATTGGCGATAATTATAATTGTCATAGAGTAGATTTGAGGATTATCCCGATGAAGTGACTGCCCGCGGTTGGGGATCGTTGGGGGCCACCTTGGAGACTGGCTTTTACACCTGGATTGTTCACCGATTAAAATAAAAACAAAACAGTTGTCTATCCAGTCTACTCTGACCCACGGCAGAACTGTGCTGTGCAGGGTTTTCAACGGCTGGTTTTTCTGAAGTAGATCGCCAGGCTTTTGTGGCACCAGGGATTTCGTGGTGATAGTAGTAGCCGTAAAAATAGTAACTATATGGAGCACTTACCATAAACCGGCCTCTTGACTCTTTACAACAAACTGGCAATCAGTCACATATTAGAAAAGGACTTGCTGGGATGACATTCAAACACAGAATATGAAGGAATTTTGTGTAAAATTTCATTTGTGTAAAATACAAATGAAATTTTTAAAATTCACATAATTATTGTATTAGATAACTGATGAAGTATGGGTCATAGTTGGAATCCAGGCCCACACGTCCTAAATAAAGTTAAGTTTCTCCTATTTTAATGAGGAGGTAACTGAGATATAGAATCAAGAAATGAGGCAAGTTGTCCAAGGTTACATAC